CCGTTTTGTGAGGATGTCTCAGGCGAGGGCGCCGGTTTGGGATTCGTCACCGGATCCAGCGGATCCAGCGGATCCGTCCGGAAACGGTGCGGGAGGCCGCTCTGGGCTCCTCTGGGCATCCCCCCGGGGCCCGTTTTGTGAGGATGTCTCAAGCGAAGGCGCCGGTTTGGGATTCGTCACCGGACCCAGCGGATCCAGCGGATCCGTCCGGAAACGGTGCCGGAGGCCGCTCTGGGCTCCTCTGGGCATCCCCCCCGGGGCCCGTTTTGTGAGGATGTCTCAGGCGAGGGCGCCGGTTTGGGATTCGTCACCGGATCCAGCGGATCCAGCGGATCTGTCCGGAAACGGTGCCGGAGGCCGCTCTGGGCTCCTCTGGGCACCTCCCCCGGGGCCGGTTTTGTGAGGATGTCTCAAGCGAGGGCGCCGGTTTGGGATTCGTCACCGGATCCACCGGATCTGTCCGGAAACGGTGCCGGAGGCCGCTCTGGGCTCCTCTGGGCACCTCCCCCGGGGCCGGTTTTGTGAGGATGTCTCAAGCGAGGGCGCCGGTTTGGGATTCGTCACCGGATCCACCGGATCCTGTCCGGAAACGGTGCCGGAGGCCGCTCTGGGCTCCTCTGGGCACCTCCCCCGGGGCCGGTTTTGTGAGGATGTCTCAAGCGAGGGCGCCGGTTTGGGATTCGTCACCGGATCCACCGGATCTGTCCGGAAACGGTGCCGGAGGCCGCTCTGGGCTCCTCTGGGCACCTCCCCCGGGGCCGGTTTTGTGAGGATGTCTCAAGCGAGGGCGCCGGTTTGGGATTCGTCACCGGATCCAGCGGATCCACCGGATGTCCGGAAACGGTGCCGGAGGCCGCTCTGGGCTCCTCTGGGCACCTCCCCCGGGGCCAGTTTTGTGAGGATGTCTCAAGCGAGGGCTCAAGCGAGGGCGCCGGTTTGGGATTCGTCACCGGATCCAGCGGATCTGTCCGGAAACGGTGCCGGAGGCCGCTCTGGGCTCCTCTGGGCACCGCGCCGGGGGTGAGGATGACGGTAGTTTCACAGAAATTCCCTCAAATCAGCAGCATCACCGTCAGCATAAGCATCATCATCATCATCATCATCATCATCATCATCATCATCATCATCATCATCATCATCATCATCATCATCATCATCATCATCATCATCATCATCATCATCACCATCATCCGAATCATCAGCAAAATCTGCATCATCATCAGCAGCAACAACCACCTTATCATCATCTGCAGCAGCACCATAATCATCGCTATCAGCATCATCAGCAGCATCATCAGCATCACCATCATCAGCTATATCAGAGTCAGCGTCATCATCATCAGCATCAGAAGCATCATCACCAGCATCATCAGCATCGCCAGCGTTATCGTCATCAGCATCAGCATCATCATCGGAATCATCATTATCATCATCAGCGTGTTCATCATCACCATCATCATCATCAGCAGCAGCATCATCCTTCATCATCAGCATCATTTCCCTGGTCATCTACCTCTTCCTCTTCCTCCTCCTCCTCCTCTTCTTCCTCCTCCTTCTCATCATTCGCCGCATCCTCTTCCGCTCCCTCATCCTCCTTCTCATTATCCTCATCATCATCATGATCATCGTCCTCATCATCCTCATTTGTCTCTTCCTCCTTTTCCTCGTCCTCCTCCTCCGCCTCCTCCTAGTTCTCCTCCTTCTCCTCCCCCCCTCCTCCTCCCCCCCCCCCACACAACCCCACCCCTCCTCCTCTTCCTCCTCCTCCTTCTCCTCCTCATCTTCCCCCTCCATCTCCTTATCCTCTTCCTCATCATCATCCTCCTCCTCCTCCCCCTCCTCCTCTTTCTTCTCCTCCTCATCCTCCTCCCCCTCCTCCTCATCCTCCTCCTCCTCCTCCTCATCATCCTCATTTCATCTCGTCCTTCTCCTACAACCTCCTCCTCCTTCCTCCTCCTGCTCCTCCTCCTCCTCCTTCTCGTTCCTCTTCATCCTCCTCCTCCGCCTCCTCCTCCTCCTCCTCTTCATTATTCCTCCTCCTCCTCCTCCTCCTCCTCCTCCTCTTCCTCCTCCTCCTCCTCCTCCTCATCCTCCTCCTAGTCCTCCCTCTCCTTCTGCTCCTCCCCTCCCTCTTCCTCAGTGTCGTCCTCCTCATCATCAGCATCATCATCAGCAGCAGCATCATCACCAGCATAAGCAGAATCAGCATCATTAACATAAGCATCATAATCAGCCGCGACAACATCAGCATCATCCTTATCATTATATGCACCATCTGTACCATTAGCATCATCATTGTCAGCATCATCAGCATCCTTAGCATCAGCTATAGCATCGTCATCATTGGCAGTAGCATCATCATCTGCATCATCATCACCACCATTGTCATCAGCATCATCATCATCATCATCATCATCATCAGCAGCAGCAGCAGCAGCAGCATCGTTTCCCTCTTCTGTTTCCTCCTCCTCCTCCTCCTCTTCCTCCTCCTCCTCTTCCTCTTCCTCTTCCTCCTCCTACTTTTCCTCCTCCTCCTCTTCCTCCCCCTCCTCCGCCTCCTCCTCCGCCTCCGTTCCTGTCTGCACCGATCCTGGCCAGGCCCGCCCTGGGCCTGGGATCCGTGCACACGCCCTGCTGCCCTGGCCCCTCCTCCAGCTCCGCTTCCTCCTCGTCCTCCTCCTCGTCCTCCTCCTCCTCCTCCTCCTCCTCCTCCTTCCTCCTCCTCCTCCTCCTCCTCCTCCTCCTCCTCCTCCTCCCTCCCTTGTCCCCCAGCAGCGCTTGCACTTATTATTTCTAACAGAAAGAGTGGTCCTGGAGGTCTTGTGCGAGATCTTGTGCGGGATGTCTTGTGTGGGCCACGCAAGCGGACTCGTACTCGCACATCTTCTGGACAGACACTTCCTCACAAGGCGTCTTGTGCGCGTCTTGTGCGCGACCAGTCTTGGCTCGACCATTGCTTCTGTCAAGCATAGTAGGGCGGTTTTTCCCGAGGGAACTGGGCCTTGTCGTCGGTTTGCTGGCTACGCCCGTCCTAGGTTGCACAACATGGATTGCACCGCCTAGTGTACACCACAAAGATAAATGACTCATCCCTGTCGCAACCCGAGACGTGTCGGTAGGGCGGGCCGGGCGGGTCGCCTGAGACTTCCTCACCATTAATGAGATTCAACGTTACACTTTGGAATTGTTTCACGGATGGAAGGCGGGCGATTTTCAAGAGATGGTTCTCGCTTGAGCGCCGCGCACATGCGCGGTCAAAGTTTGCATGTTTCTCACGGGTGGAGGGCGGGCCGCTTTCAAGATGTGACTATCGCCTGGCACCGCGCACATGCGTATCAAAGAATTACACGAATCTCATGCATGGAGGGCCGGCCGGTGTCAGAACGCCGTTCTCGCCGCAGCGCCGCACATTCGTTTCAAAACTTAAAAGGCTTGCAAGAGTCTTACGGATGGAAGGCGGCTATGTTCAACATGCTGTCATCGCCCTAGTTTTGCGCAGATTCGTATTCAAAGTTCGCAACAGTTTCACTGACGGATGGCGGGCCGTTTTCAAAATGTTATCGTCGCCGTAGCGCCGCGCACATTCGTTTTAAAAGATGTCAACGGTTTCAAAGTTTGGCGTTCACCATAGCGTTGCGCACATTCGTCTCCAAGCTTTGCAGGAATTTCACTGATGGTGGACGGTTCTTTTTCAACATGTGGCTCTCATCTTAGCGCAGCGCCCATTCGGTTCAGAAGTTTGCAAGAACGGATGGCGGGCGGTTAGTTTTCAAAATGTTGTTCTCTTTTAAGCGCCTTGCGCATTCGCCTTCTGGGTGTGCAGGAGCTTCACATCTGGAGGGTGGCTCTGGTTCAAAATGCGGTTCTCGCCACGGCGCCGCGAACAATGTCAAAATTGTATACCAATTTAACGGATTCTTAGGGCCGCCTTCCCAGGAATGGTGCTCCGGCACGAGATAAGATTGTCAGGGCGCAACAGTCACGCTGATTCGCGGTGTTGAAATTCTAGTCTCATGGCGTTCTGGGTCGACGCAGGATCGTCAGAACGCAACAGTAAAACCTGAGTCGCGGCGTCGAAGTCCAGGCAGTGGTGTTTTGCCACGACTGCGCATTCTCGGACTGTTGTTTTTCAACTTGGCACTTCCAGCAGTAAAACAAAAATATTGTAGGGACCTCTTGAAGGGGAAATTGGAGGGAGGGCTTATAGCAACATCGTTGATGCGTCTTGGGCTTACACTGATCCTCCTCCTCCTCCGCCTCCTCCTCCTGCTCCTCCTCCTCCTCTTCCGGCAAGCATGCAGACACACCAGTCTTAGGTTTCCCGCATGCATACCCGTCGTCGGCTACGCGTAAGAGTGACCTTTCGCCGGAGTGGCCTTTGGTTCGGGCCCACAGCGATCCCACCAGCAAGGGCTGGCGCGCTTGGATTGCTAAGATTTGGCCTCCCCCGCGGCCCCCTGAAGCCGTGCACCAAGGGTCAGTCTTGCCCAGGGTCACTCTTGCGTGCAGTCGATGGGCCTAGGTAGATAGTCGGCGTCCTCCAGCGTGAGTCGAAGTGAGTCTTCTTTGAACGTTTCTGGCCGTCCTCGGCCCTCCGAAAACCTCGGGATGCCTCCGATGACCTCGGGATGCCTTCCGAGAGCCTCCAAGGACCACCGAACCTCCGAAGTGGCATTATCAGAGCCTCCGAAGGCCTCGGGAAGCATCCGAAGTGGTCTTCAGGGAGTCTCCGAAGACCTCGGGATGCCTCCGAGGACCTCTGGGGCCTTCCCGGGACCGCCTGGGGCCTTCTTGGAGAGTGGTCCAGAGGTTCTATGCCACCGCGAAGAGGGGGGCCAGCCATCAAAGATTTCTGTCCTCGCCAGGCCAAGCAACGGCGTCACCAAGAAGACAGTTGATAGCCCCATTGGCTGCTTTTGGCTTGGCCGGGGTATTTCTGGTTGTTTTTCGGAGGGGCTCCTCGTCTTCAGAGCGGCGGGATGGGACCACCACGGGAGAAGGTGCACCTCTTCGACGCGGGGCAGGGCAAGCGCCTCTGCGTGTACAAGGATTGCCACACGGACGTGGTCAACCACGTCAGGTTCCACCCCGTCGACACTTCCAGGCTGCTGACCGGCGCCGAGGACAACCTGGTGGTGCTCCTGGACACCAACCAGCCCAGGGAGGACGAGTCGATGCTCGGGGTCATCCCCAACGAGGAGTGCGTGCGCTCGTTCACGCTGGTGGGGCCCGGGCGCGGCACGCTCTGCTGCGTCTCCACCACCGACGACGTCAGGATATGGGGCCTCGGCGGGGAGAGCCTGGGGGCGAAGCAGGCCGAGTTCCTCGGCCTGCGGTTCAACGAGCTGCTGGTGCGGGACGACGGGGAGGCCTTCGGCTACGTGGTGGAGACCTTCTACGACGAGCCCTCTGGCAACGTGTTCTTGCTCGCTGGCGCGGGGTGCAGCGGTGAGCTGCTCTTCTTCCGCATGACCCTGCAGGCGGCGGTCCCCGCCGCAGGCTTCCGGGTCCCCACCATCAGCGCGCTGCAGGAAGGCGGCCCATTCGAGGGCCACTCCGGCATCGTCCGCTCGGCCCTGTGCCTCTCCGGCGGCGTGGTGCTGACAGCGGGCGAGGACGGGCGCGTCTGCGCGTGGTCCGAGGACTCCTCCCTGGAGGCCCAGGACCCGCAGCCCGAGGCCCCGCGGCCGCCGCGCCCGCAGCGCTTCGGCCTGGAGCCCTCGTCGTACGGCGTCTGCCGCGGGAGGGGGGCCGCCGCCCGCGCCGCGCCCTACTGACCTTCAGAAAAAGAGAGAGAGAGAGAGAGAGATGACGGGCTCGTTTTCCACCACCACCACCACCACCACCACCACCACCACTATAAGTTTGAGGGAGGAAGGGGGTGGAGGACGAGGAGGAGGAGGAGGAGGAGGTGGAGGAGGAGGAGGAGGAGGAGGAGAAGGAGAAGAGAGGAGGAGGAGGAGGAGGAGGAGGAGGAGGAGGAGGAGGAGGAGGAGGAGGAGGAGGAGGAGGAGGAGGAGAGGAGGGTGGAGGGAGGAGGAAGGAGGAGGACCCCCCTCCCCCTCCACCTTCTAGTGGTGGTGGTGGTAAACAGGCCCATCCACACAGAGAGAGAGAGAGAGAGAGAGAGCGCGCCTCGCGCCCCGGGGGGGCTCGCGGCGGACGGCTGCGCGCGCGCCGCTCCGGCCGCGCGGCAGTGCTGGCCGCGCCCCGCGGGGCTGCCCGCGGCGCAGCAGCGGGGCCGCGCCAGCAGCAGGGCTCCGGGCAGGGGCGGCAGGCCCTCGGCCGCGGCGGCCTCGTCGGCCGCCCCGCCGCCTCGCCGGGCGCGGCCCGCGGCCCGCGGCGGCGGTCCGCCCGGCGGCGGCGGCCTGCTCGGCGGCGTGGGCGGCCGGTCGGCGGGGCCCCGAAGGCAAGGCGCAGACCCAAGAAGGCCGCGCGGACGGCCGGGAGTTGGGGGTGTCTCCGGCCGCCTCTGCTCCCGCCGGAGCCGGGAGGCAGCGCAGCGGGGCGCACGGGCCGTGAGGACCAGGAGGAGGAGGAGGAGGAGGAGGAGGAGGAGGAGGAGGAGGAGGGAGGAGGAGGAGGAGGAGGAGGGAGGAGGAGGAGGAGGAGTCGAGTCGAGTCGAGTCGAGTCGAGTCGAGTCGAGTCGAGTCGAGATCGCAGCGCCGCGCCAGGCTCTGGCTGGCCCCTGTCGATGCTGGCGAAGCGAGCCGGGCCGGGCCGAGTCGGAGAATCGCCCGGAATCGGATTTTGGGCGGCGCCGGGCAGAGCGGGTCGCCGTGGTGCAGGTCGGCGGCGCTATCCGCCGTCCTTTTTGTTCGGCGCGGCCGCTCTTGGCCAGGTCTCCGGACCCCCTCCCCTTCGTGGCTGAGTCTCTGGAGGCTCTGCGCAGGGAGAGGGGAGGTGCTGGCCATCCCCCCTGAAACCGTTTTCCAGGGGTCCAGCAGTAACCCAGGGGGGAGGTGCTGGCCGTCCCCCTCGATCCCATTTTTCAATGGTCCAGCAATAACCCGGATTGTCGGACCCGCCTGCCCCCTCCCCCCCTCTGGATAATTCGCTTTTGTCGGTTGCGCTGGTCCGAAGGGGTCATGAATCGCGAGGAAGGCTCGAGCGGTAGCGCGATTCCCAAGGAAGGCGTGAGAAAGGCCACAGCGAGAGCGTGATTCTTGAGTGTCGAGGGCGCGGCGAGTGAATAAATTGCGGGGGGGTCCCACGCTAGAGCGTGATTCCTGCATAAATTCTGAGGAACCCCCGCGCGAGAGCGCGAAGTGGGAATACATTGTGAGGAAGTCTCAGACGGGAGCCGTTGCTGAACCCTCACTTCTGAAGAATAAGTATTGTTGATCCCCCCTCACCGGTGCACACAGTCAACGCGCATGATAAGGACGTGTGACCTCTTCTAGGGTACCCTTGGGTCCCTTCTTGCCCCTGCCTCTGCGGCCCGTCCTTTGCAAACTCGATTGGCCAGCCTCTCAGCGTATCCTTGGGGCGGGCGCCGTCCCTCGGCTGCGCGGCGGGGCGTTCCCCTGGGGGGCAGTCCTAAGGACGCGGGCAACCAGGGTACCCTTGGCCGTCCTTCGGCGCGTCGCCCTCGTCCTCACCATTTGCCGCTGCCCTCGCTCGCTTTCTTCCTTCGGGGGGGGAAGGGGGTGGGGGGGGGATGGGGGGGGGCCTTAAGGACGCGGGCCAGGCAGGGTACCCCTGGCCGCTCTTCGGCGCGTCGCCCTCGTCTTCGCCCGTCGCTCGATATGCGGGCGAGCGGGGCCCTGGGGACGTCGGCCAATCAGGGGCCCCTTGGCCGTCCTTGATCGCGCCTCCGCTGCCCTCGGTCGCTGTCTCCCTTCGCGGACGGACGTTGCCTTGAGGACGCGGGCCAGGCAGGGTACCCTTGGCCGTCCTTCGGCGCGTCGCCTTCGTCCTCGCCATTCGATTGTTTTGCGGGCGGGCGTGGCCCTGGGGACGTGGGCCAGGCAGGCCCCCCTTGGCCGTCCTTGGGCGCGCCGCCGCTGCCCTCGGTCGGTTTCTTCAGATCGCGCCCCCCCCCAGCGACGGCGAGGTCTCAGGGCGATCCCCGTGCGACAACCCTCTGCTTGACCTCCCACGAAGCCGCGAAAGTGGCGACAGTTTCGCAAATCGCCCCCCTCCGGTGCACATTGCATTTTTCAATTGAAGTGCCCCTCCCGGCGCTCGCACCCGGTTTTTGTATCAGGGAATGGGAATGTCTTCCTCCTCTAATTGTGCCCCTGGCCCCCGGTTTACAACAACAACAACAACAGCGGCTCCCACCTGATACTTCCTCGAGATTAACTCTGGTCCCCCGCTCCCGCTTGAGACTTCCTCGCAATTTACTCAAGAATCGCGCTCCCGCTAGAAATTCCCTTGCAATTGATTCAGGCGCCGCGCTATTGCCATTGAGGAATCGCGCGTTCTCTGGGCACGTCTCACATTTACTTAGGAATCGCTCTCTCGCTGGAAACTTCCTGGCGAATCACGCAAAACTCACGATCGATCCGCCCGCTCGGCCTGCCCGTCAGGGTAATGCCCTTCGTGCCCCATGCTCGCTCGCGCCCTTTGTACATCATTGCTGCCCTTCGTGGCCCCTCCCCTTGTGGCCCAGTCGCTGCCCTGCGTGGCCCCGATGCTGCCGTCAATGGCCCCTCGCTGCCCTTTGTGGCCCATACTATCTATATACGCCCCTCGTGGCCCCCAGTCCCTCGTGCCCCCAATGGCCCCACTGCTGCCCTTCGTGGCCCCGCTGCTGCCCTCAGTGGCCCCCTCGCTGCCCTTCGTGTATATACACCCTTCCTGGCCCCCAGTCGCTCGTGCCCTCAGTGGCCCCGCTGCTGCCCTTCGTGGCCCTAGTGTAGCCCCGCGTGCCTCACCCCCGCTGCCCTCAGTGGCCCCCAGTTGCTCGTGCCTTCAGTGGCCCCATTGCTGACCTTCTTTGCCCTGGCGTAGGCCCTTTGTGGCCCATATATGTATGTGTTGTGTGTATCTATATATATATATATATATATATATATATATATATATATATTATATATAATATATATACGCCCGTCGTGGCCCCCAGTCCCTTGTGCCCTCAGTGGCCCCATTGCTGCCCTTCGTGGCCCCGCTGCTGCCCTCAGTGGCCCCTCGCTGCATCTGTGGCCCATATTCCTCTTCGAATATTCTTATATCGGAAAACCGCTGGTGACCCCTCCCCCCCCGTACATAAAGTCGGCCCTGGGCGCTCCCATCGGCGGGAAATTCGGGTATTCGGTTCCGGAGGCCTCTCTCGGTCATCCCAAGCCGCCTTGGCGAGCTCAAGATCGCTCCTTGGACGGTCCCGCGGAGCACCGAAACGGCCCAAGACTGCTCCAACACGCCCAAGGTGGTCTCCGGACGGCTCAAAAGGCCCTCAAGACGCCCCACGAGAGCACATAGGTCACCCCCAAGCGGGCCCCAGAAGCCAAAATTCGTAAGTTTCCCATGCGGCGGGCGGGCGCCCCCAGGCGCCCTCACGGCCTCCGACAGCTTATGCTTATACCGCTTCCCCCCCCGCCCAGCGAGCCGCCGCTCTGTGCTCCATCGTTGTCGGCGCCGTCAGCGTCGTCGACGTCGTCGGCGTCGTCGTCATCGCCGGCGTGGGCGTCGTCGTCGTCGACGTCGGCGTCGTCAGCCTCGTCGTCGTCGTCGTCGTCTTCGCCTTCGTCGTCGTCGTCGGTGTCCGCGTCGGCGTCGGTGTCAGCGTCGGCGTCGGCGTCGGCGTCGGCGTCGGCGTCGGCGTCGGCGTCGGCGTCGGCGTCGGCGTCGGCGTCGGCGTCGGCGTCGTCGTCGTCGTCGTCGTCGTTGTTGCACTTGGCAGCGGCAGCGGCGGGCTGGCGCTCCGAGGCGCTCTCACGGCCGCGGAGGAGGGCGCCCTCTACGCACGCCTGGTCGACTTCAACATGCCCCCACGCGTTAGCGGCGGCCCGATCCGCCCGCCAGTGCAGGGGGGGAAGGGGGGAGTAGGGAGGAGGGAGGAGGGAGGAGGGAGGTCGTAGGGAAGACGGACGAGGCAGGAGGGAGGAGGGAAGAAGGAGGGAGGGAGGAGGGAGGAGGCAGGAGACAGGAGGGAGGAGGGAGGGATGAGTGGGGAGGAGGAGGGAGCAGGGAGGAGGAAGGGAGGAGCAGGGAGCAGGGAGCAGGGAGGAGGGAGGTCGTCGTCGTCGAAAGCCCGACTGGGTGGCGCGCCGTTATCGGGATCGTGGAGCGCCTGCGGGCGAGCGCCGCAGTTTGTGTCGCAGCAGAGCCGCCGGCGCAGGGCCTGTTGGGACGAGCAGCGAGCGCCGAAAAAAAAGGAGCTGCAGGTCGCCCTCGACCTGTACAAACAATAGGGAGAAAGAGAAAGAAAGAGAGAAGAAACAAAACAAAAAATAAAGATTAACAAATATTATGTTTTAGATGCTTGAACAAAAAAACACACAAAAAACAATTCAGGCCCGACAGGGTGTGCGCCAGCCCAAGCCGAGGGGAAGGGAGCGAGGCAGGGGCGCGAAAAGGGGGCAGGCCAGAGTGGAGCACGCTGCCCACGCACCAGAGGAGGGGCAGCCGAAGGACGGCTCGAGCTCCCAGAGGCCAGGCGCCGAGAGACACTCGAAGCGCGGAGCGCCCTGCGAGGGCAAGCGAGAAGGGGGCACGGCCGTGCAGGGCGAGAATGCTCCGTGCGCGAGAAGAAGCTGGTCCACAGGCTGACCGGCAGCAGCTGGCACCGCACGAAGACTGGGAGCAGCTGCTCACGCGGCCTCCGGCGCAAGGGGAGGGGGGACTGCGCCAGCCGTGGGCTGCTTTTTGGGGGGAGGGGCGGAGCTTCGGGCCCAGAGGTGGCTCCCGGGGGCCCTCGCGGCTCCTTCAAGGGGAAGGATTTAGGCGACTGGAAAACCCAGGCCACTACCCACAGGTGAGTAGCAGCTCGAACTCTGAAGGCGAAGCGCCGGAAGACACTTCGAGTGCGACACGCCCTGCGAGAGCAAGCAGCTTGAGAGTGAAACAGTTGAGCGCGCTCCAAGCGCTGGCGGCAATGTAAGCGGCCGAAAGCCAGATCTCTCGTGCGGGGCACAGCTGCTCTCAGCAGACACTCTGAACGAGAGAGGACGGCACCCGGCGCGGCCACCCGGGGAGCCATGGGCTAGAGGGGTCGGAAAAGATGGCATTGGAAAAACCACAGGTGGAGCGGGAGCGCGACTTGGGGCGACACTCGATTTTTGCGTCGGCGGCTAGGCAGAGTGACTGCGTTGGCGGAGGAGCTAACTGAAGGCGGGCACCGCTGCTGCGAATCGCGCCAACATGCAAGAGGGGGGGGGGAGAGAGAGAGAGGGCGGGCGGCTGGGGGGGGGAAAGGGGCGAGGCCCGCTCTGGGGGACGGGTCACGCCCGAAGCGGTTGGCGCGGCTAGCCCCGCCTGGCGGGGACTGCGGCGGCTGAAAAAAATTTGGGCGACACACGACTTCGCGGGCGAAGAACGGTGTAAAATAAACTTGTCCGTCGCCAGGGGCACCTGTCCCAGGGCGGCTGGAAAGTTTGCACCTTGACGTGCCACCGTAAGGGTATAAACTTTCCAGCCGCCCTGGGACAGGCGCCCCCGACAGCGAAAAAGTTTCTGTGACACCGTTCTTCGCCCGCGAAACGACGAGGGAGGTTGAGGGGTGACAGACCAGAAGCCGACCATCCGTGCCAGGGGCCCGAGGGGTCGGACAAGATGGGCTTGGCAAAGCCACGGGCAGAGCGGGAGCGCGAACTGGGGCGACGCACGACGAGGGAGCCCGAGGGGTGGAAAGCCGGAGTCCGTGGCCGGCGAGCATCGCTGCTGGGATATCCCTGGGGGTCGGCGAGGGTGGGGGGCCGAGCTCCCCTGAAGCAGCCTCGCCCCTCGAGGCGCTCCGAGCCCACGGGGGGAACGGGGGTCCGCCCCCCAGGGGGAAAAGAAGGCGATCGTCTTCTTTCGCACCGTTTTGCCGCTCGGCGCGGGCCCTCGCACCCCCCCGCCTCCCCCTCCCCCCGTGGAGTAGCTCTTGGCTGTTTGCGGCGCCTGCTTCAGGCAGGTGGAGGCTCCCACGTAGGACACAATGTTGCGAAGTCGCATGAAGCAGAGGTCTGGAGCCAGACTCCCCCCTGCCCCCTACCTTCTGCCCAATGTCGAATTGCCAAATACGAGAACGTTCACAAAAAGAAAGAAGGAGGAGAGAATCTAGGACTCCTAAATGGGGTCCGAGCAGGTGGGGTCGAAGGATCGCTCCGCATCGCCGATGCATCGGCGATGCGGCTCGATGTGGGGCCCGGTTTGCTTAGCGTCGAAGTCGCCGATGAATCGCCGACATCGACGATGCATCGCCGGTGTATCGCCAATCCATCGGCGCGATCCTCCGACCCCATCTGCTCCGACCTCATCTAGGAGGCCTCTAGAGAAGGGACAACGGAGGGGGGAGGGAGGGAAGGAGGGGACCGAAGGGTGGGGAGGAGGGGGCAGAACCCCATCCCCCTTAGGGGTGAGGCCCCCGCAGGGACGGGATGTTCTCGAAGAGGACCGCCACCACCAAAACGTGCAGACCATGGGCGCTGCCATGCACCAGATGGGATAAACTGCAATACTAGGGAAGACGGCAGAGGCCCCGCCCGAACCCACCAACGCATGGCGAAGCTGAACAACACGTCGAAGTCGCTCGCAGGACGAGGCACATCATGTTGTACAACATGGCAACAGTCCCTGCTGCTCCACCTCCAGCGCAGCACGCCACGCCATCGATGGTGCAGAGGAATGTGTTGTTGACTGCCGCATGCAGGAGAAGCGGCAGGCGCTGCTGCAGCAGCTGCCGAGGACGCCGAAGGAGATGGCGTCGTCGAGCGCGAGCCCGGAGCAAGAGCCACACTGGGGCGTAGGGGGCCTTCGACACGACGCACAGCGACCGGAGCAGCGGCAGCAGCCCTAAGGGAAGAGCACGCGGACGACGACGATGGCGGCGGCGACGCAGCAGACGTCGAAGCCCCATGATCTGCAGCCATGTGCCCGGAGGCGGCTGCAGCACCCGGCGGCTGCCGACGAGGGATCGTCGGCGGCAACCAAAGCCACCCGCGCCAACACCGACCGGGAGGGCGAAGAGTTTGCGGAGGACCGGGAGGAGGCAGACCAGCTGCGTCTGCAGAGGCAGCAGCAGGCTGCAGCAACCAGCACTCCGGCGACTGGACGAAGCCGAAGAAGCCGTGTGCGGAGGGCGGCACCCCTGGGTGCGTGGGGGGGCCCACTGGCCAGCCAGCACAAGCTCCAGAAGGCTCCTGACAGTGTGGACAGGCACGAGAATGTTGTTTACCGAAGGCCACCACATCGGCCATGCGAGGAGGGCGGCCGACTCGGGCCGCGTAGCCCAGCCGCCTCGCCGCCGCGGGCATGTTGCTGTGCCTCGACCAGCAGCGTAGGCGCTGGCCAAAATTATATCGTTCATCGTGGTCGCGAACGCCAGCTGAGACGCAACCAGCGGGGACGGCGCACATGAGCGCAAGCCGTGGCGTCGCAGAGTGCCGAAGGTGGGCAGAATGGCTGCGACTACGGCTCGAGCCTGGAGGAAGGAGGAGGGAGGAGAGAGGAAGAGGATGGAAGAGGAGGAGGAGAAGGAGGAGGAGAATGAGGAGGAGGAGGAGGAGGAGGAGAATGGGGATGGGCATCAGCAGGAGGGAGAGGGGGAGGGGTAATGGAAGGGAGGAGGGGAGGAGGCGGAGGAGGAGGAGGAGGAGGACGAAGAAGAAGAAGAAGAAGAGTAGGGGGGCGGGGATGGGCAATAGCAGGAGGAGGAGGAGGAAGAGGAGGATGAGCAGGGGACGGGGGATGGAGAAAGAGGATAAGTGGGAGTAGGAGGAGGAGGAGCAGGAGAAGCCAGAGAAGGGGAATGGGCATGAGTGTCAGGAGCAGGAGGATGAAGAGGAGGACAATGGTACGGAGCGGGAGGAGGGGGAGGAGGGGAAGAGGCGGAGGAGGAGAAGGAGAAGGAGAAGGAGGAGGAGGAAGAAAGGAAGTGGACGAGAAGGAAGGCAAGGAGGAGAAGGAGGAAAAGGAGGAGGTCCCGATCAAATCCAGCCCGCATGAGTGGCATTGTTGTGCGCAATCGCGTCCCTAGCCCCTTCTTTATGAGTACATGTAAGCATATCACTTCGCTACGCCGCGCACCCGCTGAGGTGGCCCGTGGGAGCGCCTCAGGTTCAGGACCCGAGAGGTTTGAATGTGTGATAACATTGTAACCTTTCGGCCACGCCGCGATACTGGGATCTGTCGAGTGGCGTTTTCATAGCCCGATGGCTCTGCCGCATGAAGCGGTTGTTGGAGCGCTGTACGGATGAGAGCACCATCACGAGAAACAATAGCCACAAAAGGATTCTACAACATCGTGCGAAAGAGCACGCAGTTTTCGAGACCTTTCCGTTTTTGTAGCTTTGGAAACGTTTGAGAACAACGTCAGCGGCGGCGAGTTTGACACCGCACCCTTCCCAACGGTGCATACGCTGGGAGTTACGAGTTTGATGATAACGTGCAGCTCAGAAGTCTCAGTCGATGGCGTAATCTTGGTGACGTCCTTATTGTATATCTATTTTTGGATGTCGTTGGAAGCATTGACTTGCTCTAGGGGTAGTTGCACTATGCGGAGGGAACCACAGGAAGCCGCAGGAGAGAGCGGAATCCTGAAGACGACCCCGCCCCCATCCAACCCCTGGAGTTTTTGAATTGTCCGGATGGCCACGCGTTGCGAGGGCGTGTCAGGCGAAACGCTCACACCGCCTGGCCGACACAGCCGGCGGTGCGACAACACTGTGCCGGCGCAACGTGTTCCTGTCGCGCGCGACGGGAGCGCAGCCGTTGGAAAGCGCCATATCAGACCGAGGGCGTTCGGACAATAATTGATTCACTCTGGCAACATGCCTTTGCCCCAACTCCTCCTTCTCCTCCTCCTCCGCCTCCTCCGCCTCCTCCTCCTCCTGTTCCTCCTCCTCCTCCTCCTCCTCCTCCTCCTCCTCCTCTTCCTCCTCCTCCTCCGCCGCGTCCTCCTCCCACCCGTCAACGAATTCCAAACCCGCCTGCGGCCATGAGCGTGTTGCGGCCGACCTGGCGACAAGCGCACCCAGCGTTACAGCCCACCTGATGCCTAACCCACCCAGCGCCTAACTCACCCGGTGCCTAACTCACCATGGGCCAAACTCGCCCGGTGCCTAACTCGCCTGGTTCCTTACTCACCCGGTGCCTACCTCACCCTGTGCCTAACTCACCCAGTGCCTAACTCACTTGGTGCCCAACTCACACGGTGCATAACTCACCCGCTGTCGAACTAACCCAGCGCCGAGGTGCCGAACGACGCCCAATTTACCCGGTGCCGAACGCGCATTCAGCCAGTGCCACCCTCACCCAGCAGCTAACTCACCCGGCGCCTAACTCACGGGGTTTTTGCCTCGCCCGGCGACTAATTCATTTGGCCTGATTCACCCAGGGCCTCATGCACCCAGCCTGACTCATCCAGTGCTGAACTCGCCCAGCCTCACTAACTCACCCGTTGCTGAACTCACCCGGCTTAGCTCACCTGCTCGCGATTCATTTGGACCGCAGGTCGGGTAAATCGGAGCGGGTGGTCGCCATCAGGTGAACCAGCCCGTCTCCCTCCAAGAGTTCCCCCTTGCCTTCTTAGAAAGTCCCTCCGCCTTCTTAGAAGCCCACCCCCCTCGTGCCACACCCTTCCCTGACTCCACATCCGCCGTAGTTTGGGCGAGACTTCGTAAGTAAAAGGTCATCTGATGTAGATTTCCGCCCTGCTTGGCCGTCGTTGTTTCAGTCACATTGAAGCGGAAATAGCCGCCCTACTTTTCTGAGACGGGATTTTCCGATCTTTGGATTCGCATCTTTTGGAGTGCATTCCTGGCACAAGGTGTCGGAAAAAAACAGCCAAGTACCGCGGTCAGGGTTGCTGCAGGCGCCGCCAATCCACGCTCATGCCGACGCGACGGGAGCCGGCCGCAGATCGGCCGCTCTCCTCCCCGCACAAGACAGGGTCGGGCGGGGCCAGGACGAGGAAAAATCAGTTCCGGAGCGTCCCGCGAAGCTCTCAGGGCGTTCTGGAGCGCTCCGAGGAGGCCGTGGCGCCCGAGACATCCTCCAGAACCGCCGGATCTCAGAGATTTTTGATTTGTCCGCACCCGATGTTATCCTCGGCCATCGGCGGCGCACCAAGGGTGGGAGTGAGAAGGGTTGGGCCTTTTCTCAGAAGGCTCGGAAGTTCCCCAGCCTTCTCAGAAGTTCCCTGAGCCTTCCCCGAGGACACAGAGAACTTCTCGGCAGGCGCGAGGGCGTCTCAAAAGTCCCGCCGCCTTCTGAGGAGGCCTTCTCCTTCTCGCTTCCCCCCCTCGCTCGCCGCCGAGTCCTGGCCTCGTCTCACAGGGGGGCGCGCCGCCGCAGCCGCCGAGGTCCTTCATCTCGGTCCTCTCGCTCCGCGAGTCCGCGCTGAAGTACCACGAGAAGGACCCCCGCTGCCCTGCTCCTCGGGGCCCCTCCTCCTCCTCCGCCTCCTCATCCTCCTCTTCCTCCTCCTCCTCCTTCTCCTCCTCCTCCTCCTTCTCCTCCTTCTCCTCCTCCCTCTCCTCCTCCCTCTCCTCCTCCCTCTCCTCCATCCTCCTCCTCCTCCTCCTCTCTCTCTCCTCCTGCTGATGCCCATCCCCGTTCCCCTACTCTTCTTCTTCCTCCTCCCTCCCCTCCTTCTCCTCCTCCTCCTCCTCCTCCTCCTCCTCCTCCTCCTCCTCATCATCATCATCATCATCATCATCATCCTCAAACTCCTCTTCCTCCTCCTCCTTCTGTATGATGTTCCAACATACTTCAGCCTTGATCAGCAGAAAGAATTTCGAGCGTCGAAAAAGTACCGAGTCTGGAGGGTTTTCACGTGTCGGGCCCTAGGAGGCGATACTCGTTTGGCGCTTCATTGGCAGACACTGTTTCCATGCTTTTCTAGGTGTTCGAACTTATTTCTGGGATGTGGTACTAAGTACGATGGGAACAACATAAGCCCTTTCTCCACAGATCACCCCACGGGGGGCAGGAGCAACGGGGGGGGAAGGGATAGGCCCAGGGGAGGCTCCTGAGGTGAGGGTCGGGTCGGGTTCGGCGGTGTTCAGCGTTTTCGTCGGTTCTCGACGGTTTTCCAGCCTCGGGGTGCCTCACGCTGGTCAGGAGCAACGGCAGGGGGGAGGGATAGGCTCGGGGGAGGCTCTTGAGGGTCGGGTCAGCTTCGGCGGTTTTCGGCATGTCTCGTCGGTTCTCCACGGTTCTTGTTCAGCCTCTGCATGCTCTGCAGAGGGGGGGCGCTCTGGTGCCGTCCAGAACGGCCGCCGGAGACCGAGAGCTGTGCCACCGTCGGGTGCCGCGTGACGTCGCCGGTGTCGTGTTGCGTTGGGCCCGTGCAGCGCGAGAGCCGCCGCGCGGTCATCCTGCTGCCAGAGGGGGCGCCGGGCAGGGAGCGGAGGGGCTCTGCTGGCCACGGCGAGCCTCGGCCGCGAAGAGGTTCCCCGACCTGGACCACAGGGTGGGCCGCGTCGACCCCCAATCGCCCACTCATCGCTGGTCGGGCCTGGGCCCACCCCTCCCAGGGGCGCGTGGTTTCGCCATCGGGGGCCTATCGCCTCTTGGGGCCTCTTGGGGGCCTCCTGGTGGCATCGTGGGGCGGAAGGCTCGGATTTTCGGTTCGTCGTCTTCTTCTTGGGCCACTCTTGGGGCCGTCTTGGAGCCCTCTTGGGCCGTCGTGGGGCCGTCTTGGGGCCCTCTTGGAGGCCTCTTGGGCCGTCTTGGAACGGTCTTGCGAGCTTCTTGAGCCGTCTTCGAGCGTCGGGGAGCCGAAAAGTTGAGAAGAACCCCCCCGCCCCCCCCCCCCCCCCCCCCCCCCCCCCCCCCCCCCCCCAAAAAAAAAACAACAGCAACAACAACAACAACAAAACAATAACAATAACAATAACAATAACAATAACAAGAACAATAACAACAACAACCACAACAACAACAACAACAACAACAACAACAACAACAACAGCAGCAGCAACAACAACAACAAACAAAATAACAACAAAACAAAAACAAAACAAAAAACGAACAAAAATGCGCCATGATTCCACATGTCGATTAAATCCTTCTGAATACTACCCCATCATGGGAGATGTTTCTGGCATGCGGGGTCCGATATTCCCTCGCCCAGATCTCCCGCCCAAGAAAGCATTGCCACCACCTCTTCCGAGGAACTTCGACATCCACAGCTCGGACGGCACATCGCCATCGCAATCGCCTTGCGCACGCCCCGCATTTCGGAGGAGGAGGAAGAGGACGAGGAGGGGAGGTAAGATGAGGGAGAGGAAGAAGGAGAGGAGGAGGAGGATGGAGGAGGAGGAGGAGGAAGAGGGGGAGGAAGGAGGAGTAGTTGTAGTAGCAGTACCTCCGAGGACGAGGCGGTTCTTACTCTTCGTCCGAACTGTTACACCATCCTGCGGCCTCGGCGGCGCATGACACTGAACGTTCACGCCCCCAGCCGATGCCGCTCCCATGCTCGCATCCTCCACCTGCCCCCCCACACGCCTTCTCGATGGGCCCCCGCAGTCAACCCGTCGACCCCCCACCCTTGGAGCCCTTGGAAGCCACCCGCCCTCCTTTTCTCCCCCCTCCACCACATCATGCACGCTCTCCAAACATAACTCTCGGAAGCCCCCCAGAGGCGATGCCCTCACGAGGGCCCCAGTCCTGAGTAAAAGGCGGGGAAGTATCAAACGGGAGCGACGAGGGAGGTCGGCAGGGGAAGGGGGAGGGGGGAAAGAGGAGGGAGGCAGGAGGAGGGAGGACACAAGGGGGGCGAAAAACGGATGGGGGGAGGGGGGAAGGGGGAGGAAAAGGGACGGGAGAGGAAGGAGGGAGGAGGGAGAAGAGGAGGAGGCGGAGGAAGAGGGAGGAGAGAGGGGGGTGGAGAGGAGGAGGAGGAGGAGGACATGAGGAAAGGGATGAAAATCAAGAGGCGGAGGAGGAGGAGGGAGGAGGAGGACGAGGACGAGGAGGAGGAGGAGGACAAGGAGGAAAGGGAGGAAAAGGAGGAGGCGGAGGAGGAGGAGGAGGAGGGAGGACGAGGACGAGGACGAGGAGGAGGAGGAGGAGGAGGAGGAGGAGGAGGAGGAGGAGGAGGAGGAGGAGGAGAGGGAGAAGAGGGGGGAGGGAGGAGGAGGGAGGAAAGAGGGGCGGAGGAGGGAGGAGGGAGAAGAGGAGGGGGCGGAGGAAGGAAAAGGGAGGAAGAGGAGGCAGGGAGAAGGAGGGAGGAGGACGAGGACGAGGAGGAGGAGGAGAAAAGGGCACCAGTCCAGCGTAAAACGGGAAAAAGAAGTCTCGGGCGGGAGCGCTGGTTCTGTCGGGGCGGGGGCTGTCGGCGGCGAGCAAGAGCACCGCCTCGAGTAGAAAAGGGAGGGAGATTCGAGCGGGAGCGTTGTTGTTGCCGGGGGGCGGCGCCGATGAGAGACAGACTAGCGCGCCTGTCCAAGGTAAAACGGGAGGAAATCTCGAGCTTGAGCGATGGTTTTGTCGAGACGGCTGCTTTCGCCGGCGCGCAGGAGCACCGGCCCTGAGTTAAAATGGAGGAAGTCTCGAACGGGAGGGTTGTTGCTGTTTGGGGGCCGGTTGGGCGGTCCCCAAACCGCTTGAGAATGAGCCTTATTTTCAATGAGAATGCAGCCGGCGCCTCGGCGGGAGCGCCAGGGCGCCTGTAAGGGGTCCAACAATATTAATTGTTTAGTAGTTAACATTTCAACAAAGTCAACAACAACAACAATCACAACAATCACAACAACAAGAACCATTCCAGGACTGTTCGCTCCTACCCGCCCGCGTGTCACTCACTATGCATATCCCAAACCCTGGATGCCCGCCCTCTTCGTCTTCGATCGCAACCGTTCTTGGGGGGTTATATCCCAACCTGGCCACGTGTAATTGGACAAGCCCCTAAACAGGGAAACGAAAAGAAAATGACAAAAAGAGAGGACGAAGGGATCGGAGGAAGGGAGGGATTAGAGGGGCAAAAGGGAGGGACGACGATGATTTGTGCCGCGAGTTGCGATTCAGCTTGCGCCAGCCGTTCCAACACAGGTTAACAAAGGCTTCGCCATGGGTCGCGCCATTAACAGCGCCATGTAACACCTCCTGGTGTTGCTCGGCGAGGTGTTCGAGGCGAATGTGGTGCCCGATGTTTGAATAAATTGCGAAAAAGTTCGAGGCGAGAACGCAATTCCTGAAAAGGGGATGTCTGGCGAAAGAGGGGGTCTAGGCTAAAGCGCAAGGAAATCTTAAGCGGGAGCGCCGTTGTTGAGTAAATTGTAAGGAAGCCTCAGACGGGATGGGGGGTCGTGACTAAATCGCGAGGAAGAAGTCACAGGCGCGAGCGCCGATCCTGATTAGATTAGGGGGATGTCTCTGCCAGAAGCGGGGGTCCTGAGTAAAGTTGGAGGAGGTCTCAGGCGGGAGCCGTTGCTGTTGTAGTCCGGGGGAGCAGCAACGCAGTTTGACCCGGACTAAATTGCGAGGAAGACAAGCGGGAGCGCTGTTCCTGATTAAACTGAGAGGAAGTCTCAGACGGGAGGGGGGGTCCTGAGTAAATTTGGAGGAAGTTTCAGGCGGGAGCCGTTGTGGTTGTAGCCCGGGGAGCCAGGGGCACAGTTTGACCAGGAAGATGTTCCCTGACAAAAAACCGGGTGCGAGCGTCGAGGGTATTTTGATTTAGAAAAACAATATGCACCGGTGAAGGGGGATCAACAATAGTTATTCTTCAAACATGAGAGTTCAACAAAAGCAGAAGCAACAACAACGACAACAACAACAGCAGCAACAGCAACAGCAACAGCAACAGCAACAGCAACAAGAACAATACCAAAACAATAGCCCCAACAACGGCAACAACAACACCAGCAGCAGCAACAACAACAAAAATGAAAAACGTGGGAGGGCTCTTAAAGCTCTCCTGGGGCGTCTTGGAGGCATCTTGGGCCGTCTGGAGGCCATTTTGCACGTCTTGGGGCGATCTGTCGGCAACTCGGGGCCGTTTTGGAGGCCGTTGGGGCCCTCTTGGCCAGTCTTGAGGCCCCGCCAAAGCTTGCAATTTGGGGGTCGGCCCCCGAGAGAGACTCCTCCGGACTGGGGACAGAGGCCCCATGGATTGGGCAAAGGAGTTGCGGGCACGCCCACTCTGTCCCCAGAGGCACGGTGGTAGACAAGGATGAGGGACGGAGGGCAGGAGCATGAATGAGGAGATGACGGCGATGGAGGAGGAGGGGGAGGAGGAGGAGGAGGAGGAGGAGGAGGAGGAGGAGGAGGAGGAGGAGGAGGAGGAGGACGAGGAGGAGGAGGAGGAGAAGGAGAAGGAGGAAGAGGAGGAGAGGAGGAGAGGAGGAGAAGGAGGAGGAGGAGACGGAAGAGGACGAGGAGGAGGAGGAGACGGAAGAGGACGAGGAGGAGGGGGAGGAAGAGACGGAGAAGGGAGACGGATGAAGAGGAGGAGGAGGAAGAGGAGGACATGGAGCAGGAGGAGGAGGAGGAGGAGGAGGTGAAGATGGAGGACCACGGAGGAGGAGGAGGAGGAGGAGGAGGAGGAGGAGGAGGAGGAGCAGGAGCAGGAGCAGGAGCAGGAGCAGGAGCAGGAGCAGGAGCAGGAGGAGGAGGATGAGGAGGAGGAGAAAGAGGATGCCGGCGACGAGGGCGACGAGATGGAGGAGGAGAAGGAGCTCCGACGGGACTGACAGCGCCCCCCCCCCGCAGGTGCTCCAGCTCGGCGACAGCCCCGCCGACTGGAAGCTGACCAGCAGCAAGTCCTACCTGTCACAGCTCTCCGAGTGCACTGCCGCACCCCGCGCGGCCGCCGAGCACCGCTTCCAGGGCGCCCCGGCGGCCCCCGCGGCGGCGCCGGCCGCCTCTGAGCCCCGCGCGCCCCGCCGCGCGCTCACGCTGGTCGCCGGCGGTGGCAACAATTACGGGCCCCAAGAATATACACCACCACCACCTCCATTCACCCTCCCCCCGCTGCCCTTCTCCTCCCCTCCTCTTTCCTTCTCCCCTTCTCTTTCCTGAGAGAGGGATGGGTTAGGGAGGTGGTGGTGGTGGTGGTGTATATGTTGTGGCCCCTGTAAAACCCGCCCGCCCTCGAGGGCCAACGTCGACGCGGGTCAATGCACACGGGGGTCAGTCAGAGCGCTGCATCTTGCGGGATCCTACAGATTTGGCATCGCTCGGGCGTGTGCATGTTCTTTGTCTCGGCAGGAACCACCAAAGAGCATTCTGGGTCATCTTGCGCAAAAAACACGTACGGTGCCTACAAGAACACGAGGAGTGGACGTCCGAGCGATGGCGAGTCAGAGCCAGAGGTGCATTGACCTGGGCTTGCGCGCAGGATCCTGCAGGATCTTGCAGGATCCTGCAAAACCCGACCGACTGGCCCGGGTCTGGACTGACCTGGGTCAGTAGTCCCCCGACGGCCCCCGACCTGATCCCAGGGGCAACGATGGGGTGGCTCCTGAGGGTCGGGTCAGCTTCTCGGCGGCTTTCGGCTCCTGCTTCCCAACGCGTTGCAGGTTGGTCTAAAACAGAGGGATGTCGCCTCCTTCCCTCTGTTTTCACAAACTTGATGAGGTTGGGGGGGGAAGAAAAAAAACAAAAAAAAGAAGAAGAAAAAAAAACAAAAAAAAAAAACGCTGCGGCTTTCGGCGTTCCCGGGGTGCCCGGGTCGCCCCGAGAGGAGCTTGGAGACCCGAGTCCTGCCAACGTTTTGGGGGGGTGGGATAGGCTCAAGGGGGGGGGGGGGACGGCAACGACCCGCCATCGCCCCTGCACCGCCGGTGGGGGCCCGAGAGCCCCCCCCCGCCCAGGGCCGTGCGGATTCGCCGTCGAGGGCCCATCGCCGATCTGTCGGCGCTGTGTCGCCGATGCCGGGTCGAGGTGTCCCTCCCGCCCCCCCGACCTGACGTCGTTGCTCAGCATCGCCTACCTCGGTGGCGAATCATGGGAGCCACGTGCGTCCTCGGAATGTCCATATTTCGAGCGCATCAGCGTACGCCAGCGCCCGGCAATCGACGAGAAGGCGCGGATGTAGCGCCGACGAGCGTCGATGTAACGTCGATTTAACGCTTCGGCGAGCCTCGATCAGCGTCGGTGAGCGTCGACTCGCAAGCGCCGGCAAGATGGCATGGGAGGCTCCCATGAGTTGCCACCGAAGCATTGCCTACGGTCAGAGACTTCGGCTTAGCGTGTCGCGCCGCCGCTTGTTCCGGCCAACCACGCTCAGGAGAGGAAAAAACACACAGACACAATGAATCCTCGATTCCCCAGAAAATATGGGAAAATATGGGAAGGGGGGGGAAGACAGAAACCCAGAAAATATGGGAAAATATGGGGAATCTTTTTATTTGTGTGTATTTATTTGTGTGTTGTGGGCCCCTTCACACCCATCGGCGCGACACGCGATCCACGGCTTGGCCCCCCAACGCCAACGTCCCGAGCCTCTTCCGGCACCCCGCCCCGCGGGGCGAAGCGACGCGCTGTCCGCTCGCAGGGCACAGCGCGCCGCGAGGGCCACCACCGCGACGCGGCAAGCAGAAGATCTCGACACCGCACCCGATCCCCTTCCCCACTGGGCCATGGGTTCTCAGCCCCACCAGCCAATCCCTTTTGGTTCGAGTAGGAGATCAACTGCAGAATTGATTTACCCCGAATGTGATTTCTGTTCGTCGCATCTAGAAAGGAAAGAGGAAAAAGGCAAACGTTCGTGGACTGCCACGTATTCCTTCGGCGATTCGATGAAAAAACAACTTGAGGTTAAATCAATTCTGTATCTGATCTCCTATTCGATTGGTGGGGATAGGCCCCACAAAGCCCGGAGAGAACAGCATACATGTGCCAGGGCTCTGACCTCCCCGCCCAACGCGAATTAATGGGATCGCCACCCAAACCCCCTGGATGGGTGTGCCCGTGAGCCTCGCGAAGGCCTCGCGGATGGCATCGCCCCCCCCTCACTGGTCGTGGCCCTGTGGGCGCGGCGTGGTGGTGGGTGCCGGTGCCCACCCCCGCCCCCTGGATGTGGGACGACGGGGTGGTTCGTCGTCGTCTTGCGTCGGCGTCGTCGGCGTCAACGTTAGCGTCTTGCGTCGGCGTCGGCGGCGTCGGCGTCTTCGTCGACGTCGTCGTCGGCGTCGTCGTCGGCGTCGTCGTCGGCGTCGTCGTCGGCGGACTCGGCGTCGGCGTCGTCGGCGGCGGCGTCGGCAGCGTCGTTGTTGTCTTCCGTCGTCTTCCGTCGTCGTCGTCGTCGTCGTCGTCGTCCCTCCCCCCACAGGTCGTGGCCCTGTGGGCGTGGCGTGGTGGTGAGTGCCAGTGTCCCCCACCCTCCCCCTGTGGTTGCGGAGTGGTTCGTCGTCGTCGTCTTCCGTCGGCGTCGGCGTTGTCGGTGGCGGCGTCGGCGTCGGCGTCGTCGTCGGCGGACTCGGCGTCGTCGGCGTCGGCGGCGGCGTCGGCGGCGTCGTCTTCCGTCGTCGTCATCCTCGTCGTCCCCCCCCCCACTGGTCGTAGCCCTGTGGACGTGGCGCGGTGGAAGGTGCCTGTGCCCCCCCTCTCACCCTGTGGTTGTGGGGTGGTTCGTCGTCGTCGTCTTCCGTCGTCGTCGCCGTCCCCCACCCATCCCAACTGGGGGGGGTGCTTGTGGAATCCTGGGGCTCATCCCATCTGCGGGGGGTCGGGGTGGGGCATGTGAACCCTCGGCCCGGGACCATACTAATATATAGATGCACATGGCAACGATGTATTCTACCATTAGACCACTAGACCAGAAGACGATTATCATTCCACCATCATTCCACTGTTCCCGTGCCCACGTCCGACGGTACGGACTCACCTCGACGCAATTGTGCCGAGCTGGTCAACCACCCAGCTGGCGCTTGCAGGGAAGCATTTGGATTTCTGCGCGGGGCCAGGCAGCCGGGACCTGCTCTGGAAGGACCCGGAGGCGAATTTCAAACAGCGTGCATCATTATGGGCGGGCCACCCGTTGGGGCTTCATTACTCTGCACTCGCATACAACACTTTGGGGATTTCGGTGTTGACCTTCGTTGCGCAACTCAGCGAACCGGCGGAGGATGTTCTCACCGTGGAGTTGCAATGGCTGCGACGAGCCGCTCTGGGGCCAGGTATCTGGGCAACGCCAGAAGATCTATGGTGACTACAGCACCCATACCATTTTCCAAGTGCTCTCCGCAGTCTGTCGCTCAAGCAGCACAACTACGCGTACCACTGGGACGCAGCATTCGGTGACCACCCCGCGGAACCAGGCACCCCTTTGGACTCCCGCCTCCCGGGCGACGGCACGCGCCCGACTACTCTTGCCGACCCTCCCCCGCACGCCCCCAACAGCGCAAGCTACAAGTGCACTCAACCGACGCACCCGGCTCCTCCGATCACTTCTGGGCACCACCGACCGCTTGCAGGAGAGATTCCACGCGGGACCAGTGGCTTCAGCATTCCTGCAGCCTCCGCCTGGACACCAACTCCTTGTGCCTGCCGATGGGTGCACCTGCCGCGCTATACCGCGCTATACGCGCCCCACTCCGCGCGCCGTGAAAGACTGGGGCCGCATCCGCGCACGCTTCCAATCCGCCGCACGTGCTCGACGATGCTGGAGGCGCAGGCCCCGCCGGCCGAGCACCGCCTCCGGCACGGATGCCGACGCGCGCCGGCGCCGGAGCCCGCCAGACCACGCCCGTATTGCCGGCCTGTCTCGTGTTCGGCAGGCACGGAGACTTGTAAGTCGGGCCTGTTCCTCTGCAGGAGGAACACTCAAAAAGTAAGTCGGGCCTGTCCCTCTGGCAGGAGGAACATTCAAAAATGGTCCCAACAAAAAAAGTCTGGGGACGACTTTTGGCTATTTTTGAGCAGTTTGGGGGCATTCTCTGACTATTCTTGAGTTTTCCTCCAAAATCGGCCTGTCGGGGGACATGCCCGACCTAAACGGAGACTTGGCACGGCCGGGCAGCTCCCCACCATTCTTCGATTGTTGAGCAAGCTGGTTGCTCCCCGGGCGCAGTCGGCCGTGTTCAGCACGATGCGGAAGCGATGGACCACGGCCCGCCGATTTCAACGACATCGTGGTAGACCGTGCCTCTTTTGCAGAGTGCCCCACACGCACGAGACGCAGTTGAGCACTGCGCGAAGTGCCCGGTTGTGCGGCGGCTCGCTGCGCAGTTGCTGCACCTCGGCCCACGCCAGTTTGTGAACCTCCACTCTAGTCTTGTGGCGACTCCTTGGCCAGCACCCAAGAAATCCTCACGACCATCGCCCTTCTGGTCTATGCGGCGCACAGGCGCACCAGCGATCGACGACGCGCCCAGGCCCCGCTGCCGACGACAGCCCTTCACGCAGCTAACCCATATCCGACCGACTGCGATAACGAATGTCTACCTCATGACGGAGCAGAAATGCTGCCAGTTACCCGCACGAGCGATCTTGGCAACCGGAAGGTCTGTCCTACTCAGGCTCCAATCTTTCTGACTCCAGCCCCCCCCCCCGATTTATCCGATTCTGGCTTCCTTTTTGCCAACCCTGGCTCCGATCTCTCCGACTCCTTCCCCAGTGTTTCCGACAACATGTGAAACGGACAATGCAGGAACCGACAATTCGTGTGAAATGGACAATACGGGAACCGACAATTCGTGTGAAACGGACAATGCGGGAAGCATGGGAATTCTTAAAAGTGGCTTTCGAGCGCAGGTCCTACCTCAGGGTGTCGCGGACCAGCTCCTAGGTTTCCGACTCGGAATCCGATCTCTCCGATTCCAGCTCTGACTTGTCCGACTCCATTTCCGATTTTGTAATATTTGAGCCTCACACACCTGTTTGGGGATGTGGGCGGTCGGCGGGACATGGCGGCACGTACCCTCTCCTTCTGACTGCAGCACTACACTACAGCAGCCTATTTGACGGTGCTTTGAAAGGGTGCCAGCCTATCCGCGACACTCACAGTATGGTTGGTACATCCCGCTTCGAGATGTATCGACGCAATCCCCCAAGAAGGTGGTGACATTTGCCTGGTCGATGTCTCGACGCAGTTTCGACCTCCGACCCCGCTCCGACCCAAGCGCCCTGCCCAGAACCAACGCCGACGACTCCTTGGGCCAAGGTTCTCTACAGCAGAGGCGCACGATTACTTACATGACCGTTCTTGTTTCCACCATCCTCCGGTTCCCTACGCCCCCTCCGCTCCAATCTCCACAGCGGCCGATTTCTTCGTGAGTCATGGTTCAGGAGGGGAAGAAACACACAGACACAATTAATCGTCGACTCCCCAGAAAATATTGGAAAATATGGGAAGCGGTGGGGAAGACAAAAACCCAGAAAATATGGGGAAATATGAGGAATATTTTTGTTTGTGTGTATTTATTTGTGTGTCCCAGGGCCCCTTCAATGGTGCTGGCGGCGGGGCCAGAGGCGCCTGCATCGACGCCGGCTGGATCGCTGGCGCACTGTCTCCGTGACGCTGCGGATGCGTCAGCGCTGCAGAAGTTTCGTCGAGAGTTGGAATGTCATCATCTCGCGTTGGCAGGGTAAGATCCCGCCCGTCGGGATTTCTAAAACCGTCTGTTCTTACGTCGGGATTCTTAATTACCCCGTTCGAGCGATACATATATATATGTATATATATGTGTGTATGTATATACATAGTATGACTCGAGGACATCCTGGATTTAGAAATCTCGGATCTTTGGTCCGACCGCTCTTGACCCAGCCCGCTAGGATTCTGGGGGGGAAAGGGGGGGTCGGCCTTCGCCCGCCCGCTCGCGCGGAAGCAACGAACGAAACCTGCATCATCTTGACGCTCCCATGAGACGTGACGAACTGTTGCAACGGCGTAGTAGGGGGGAAAGGGATGCTTCTTCGCTCCCATATCCGACTCCCCCTCGGCGCCTACGTCTTCGCCAAGTCCAGCCTTCGATTCCGGACGGCCCCAGCACGTCTTTCGACTCCAGCTCCTCTCCCGCCCAGGCTGCGAGACCAGCCCAGCCGCGGCAGCAAAGCGGAAGGGGCAGGGAGACACGATAGCTTGTACCACGGATTTGTCTACATCGCGAGGATGACCAACGCGACGACTTTCTGCAGCGCGACCATCGACGCCACCCACTGCATCATTTCCAGCCGCACGCATTCGCGTGCAACGCAGGCGCCGTGCCCCCCGAGACCAGGAGGGCGGACAAGTTCTGCCAACACGCTACAGGCCCCGCTGAACCCTGGATGGGCCTGACCAGCGGCAGTGGATGTGTATGCATCTCGTCCCGCCTTCTTTCGCCCTTTCTCTGCTGAATAAAGCTGTGCGCGTCCCGCTTAGCTTTCAGCGGAAGAGGTTCGCTCTCGCCCCGCAGATACAAGAAAATATACATCTCGTCGCCCTGGAACTGCGAGCCTGGAGCCAGGACCTCGGTCTTGAGAGGCCCTGCTTGCGGGCGGGGACCCGCAGCCTCACCGCAGCCAGCGCTGGGCTGGCAGCGGTGCGCCTCCTGGGCCCAGTCTGAAGTCGGGCCTGTCACTCCACGGGAGGAACATCCAAAAATAGTCACACACACAAAAAATGTATTGGGACGATTGTTGCATTTTTTGACAATTTGGAGCATTTGGGGGATACTCTTGATTTTTCGTCCAAGATCCCTCCGTAGGGGGACCGGCCCGACCTGAGCGTAATCCCCGGCGCGAGGCCTCAGGAGGCGGGGGATGGGGCGGGGGCAGCGGCCAGCTTTCGATGCCCAGGTCGTCCGGGACACGCAGGGGCGCGACACGAACTTCAAGGTGTACTCCAACTCGCCCCTGCAGGCGGCTCGACCTCCCTCCGCCCTGTCCGCCTCGCTCCTCCCGCATCCTCCAGAGGTTCATCGCAGCTCCACCCTCCTCGCTCCCTCCTTCCTCTTCCCTCTCGGGTGCCCGTGGTGCGGCAACGTGAATAACGACGGTGATGATGGTGATGATGATGAGGAGGAGGAGGATGACGATGATGATGATGATGATGATGATGATGATGATGATGATGATGATGATGATGACGATGATGATGATGATGATGACGATGCTGATGATGAAGATGAAGATAAAGATGAAGATGAAGATGAAGATGAACAAGAAGATCAAGGCGAAGGTGAAGACGGACATGGAGATGAAGATGCAGATGAACATGAAGATATCAATGAAGATGCAGAGGAAGATGAAGATGCAGATGAAAAAGAATATGATGCTAATGGCGATGATCGTGACCGTGATCATGACGATCACGATTACCATGACCACGATTATGATGATGATGGTGACGGCGACGGTTACGATGATGAGTATGACGGCGATGATGGTGATGAAGGTGATGATGTTGATGATGATGATGATGTTGATGTTGACGATGACGATGACGATGATGTTCATAATCATGATCATGATGATCAGTACAATCATATTGATTGTGACGGGGATTATTGTCATGATGACGGTGACGGTGGCAGTGCCGATGATGATGACGATGATGATGATGGTGATATCGATGGTGACGGTGATGGTGATTGTGATGGTGATGGTGACGATGATGGTGATTGCGATGGTGGTGGTGATGGTGATGAGCGGTGGATGAGGATGATGATGAGCGGCGGGTGATGATGATGATGATGATGATGATGATGATGATGATGATGATGATGATGATGATGATGATGATGATGATGATGGCCATGATGACGGAAGGTGGTGGTGGTGGTGGTGGTGGTGGTGACGATGAAGATGATAATGATGTTGATGCTGATGATAATGTTGATGATGATGGTGATGATAATAGTGTTGCGGATTCTCTAACGAGGATGAGGAGGAAAATGAAGCCAGGAGAAGTGACATGGGCGAGGGCGTGGGAAGGGCATGAGCCTCCAGTGCCCAGCCGTGCTCTCCCGTGCCAGCGCTGTCGACGAGGCAGGAAGACAGCGCCTGCGCCAGAGCGCGCGACCCAGATCTCTGGCACTGTGATTCACTCAACCGGTACTTCTGTTCTTCGATTTCGGCCCTCGGTGGCCATTACCGGTCCCCGGGACCGTCAGAAACAGACCCGGGGCGAAAATTGACCCCAGGGGAAATCGGTCGGGATTTCTGGGCCCGCGAATTGAAAAAATCGTATCGGCGAATGTCTGAGGAGGGCGAACTGGGGCTCCCTTGCCGCCCTCGGGGGCAGCCAGGAAGAGGAGTGGAGCGGATGCCCAAAAAGCAGCGCCCCCCGGCCTTGAAGACGCACAGGACGACAAGGAACACGGGGCGCGCGAACTGGAGGAACAACTTTCCGAATACGGGGCGCCACCATTTGATAAACCAAAGTCTCCCGCTTTCATAGCACTCAGCAGAAAACGTGACGCATCACATATCCACCATTTGGAGCGTACTGACTGAAACTTGGAAAAAGCCTTCACTTGGATATACGGATAGCCTTTTATGTTCCTCGGCTCCTTTCCGCGCGGGAGGTTGACCACCAGAACGAATGCACATCGAGAGGTGAACGACAAAGGTGAAGACAGGTGAAAGCAATAATGCACGACCTGCCCACGATTGAAACACCACATACAGCAACACTGAATTGTTGTACCCGAGAATTTCCTGATTGCTGTGGCGCGATGCACGTTCACAGAAAAAGAACCACTTGATCGAAGCACATGAGATGAGAGTACTGCCAATTCAGAAAGATAAATGCAGTTTGAAACGTGCAGCAAACAAGTTGCGGAATACCACCAGCAAACAAATTATATACATTCCCCAAGCGGCAATGGGAGATACGGGTATTGTAGCTGACGAAAACAGCACCCAGCTTGACGTGCACAAGAAAACAAGTGGCACGTGCGCCATAGCCCTTGCACAGAATGGAAGGGGGAGGAGGAGGAGGAGGAGGAGGAGGAGGAGGAGGAGGAGGAGGAGGAGGAGGAGGAGGAGGAGGAGGAGGTGGAGGTGGAGGAGGAGAGGGGAAGAGGGGGCAAGGCATCGCCCTCTGGGCCCAGCAACGGGGCCCAAGTCCCAGGTGGGGAGGGTGGGGGAGGCGGCGTGCGTCGCGACGCGGAATAAAGTGCTCGGAGCGGAGGGAGCACGGGGCGGAGGTCCCACTGGGGCGCTGGGGGCGCGGAGAGGAGGGGTGGTGGTGTGTGCCGCGACGCGGAATAAACTGTCGGGGCGGAGGGGGCACTGGGCGGGGCTTGGGGCAGAGGGCCACGGGGCGGGGGTCCAACTGGGGCGCTGGGGAAAGGGGGGGAAGGGGGGGAGGTGGCGTGCGTCGCGACGCGGAATAAAATTGTCGGGGCGGAGGGGGCACGGGGCGGAGTCCCCACTGGGGCGCTGGGGACGCGGGGAGGGAGGTGGGGGAGGTGGTGTGCGGCGCGACGCGGGATGAAGCGTTAGTGGCGGAAGGGGCAGTGGGCGGGGCCCCCGCTGGGGCGCTGGGGACGCGGGGGGGCTCGGGGCAGAGAACCACGGCGCGGGGGTCCCACTCTGGCGCTGGGGACGCGGAGGGGGGGGGTGCGACGCGTAATACAGCGTTCGTGTCGGAGGGGGCAGTGGGCGGGGGCCCCGCTGGGGCGCTGGGGACGCGGTGGGGCTTGGGGCAGAGAGCCACGGCGCGGGGGTCCCACACTGGCGCTGGGGACGCGGAGGGGGGGAGGTGCGACGCGGGATAAAGCGTTCGTGGCGGAGGGGGCAGTGGGCGGGGCCCCCGCTGGGGCGCTGGGGACGCGGTGGGCTCGGGGCAGAAAGCCACGGCGCGGGGGCCTCACACTGGCGCTGGGGACGCGGGGGGGCGGGGGGGGGCGACGCGGGATAAAGCGTTCGTGGCGGAGGGGGCAGTGGGCGGGGCCCCCGCTGGGGCGCTGGGGACGCGGGGGGGCTTGGGGCAGAGAGCCACGGCGCGGGGGCCCCACTCTGGCGCTGAGGACGCGGGGGGGGGGGGAGCGACGCGAAATAAAATGGTCGGAGCTCGACACCCTGTGCAAGAGAAAAAGTGGTCGGGGCGGAGGGGGCGGTGCGCTGGGATGGGCTGCTGGGGAGAGGGGGGGGGGGGGGCGACGACGACGCCGAAATAAAGTGGTCGGGGCGAAGGGGCGGCGCGCTGGGCTGCTCGGGAGAGGGGGATGGGGGGGGGGGGCGACGACGACGCCGAAATAAAGTGGTCGGGGCGGAGAGGGCGGCGCGCTGGGCTGCTGGGGAAAAGGACAGGGGGGGGGCGACGACGACGCCGAAATAAAGTGGTCGGGGCGGAGGGGGCAGCGCGCTGGGCTGCTGAGGAGAGGGAGAGGGGGGGGGGGGCGACGACGACGCCGAAATAAAGTCGTCGGGGCGGAGGGGGCGGTGCGCTGGGGTGCTGGGGAGCGACACATAGCGACGCATGTCGACACAACGCCGAAATAGGGCGACGACGACGCCGAAATAAAGTGGTCGGGGCGGAGAGGGCGGTGCGCTGGGCTGCTGGGGAAAGCGACACATGTCGACACAACGCCGAAATAGGGCGACGACGACGCCGAAATAAAGTGGTCGGGGCGGAGAGGGCGGTGCGCTGGGCTGCTGGGGAAAAGGACCGGGGGGGGGCGACGACGACGCCGAAATAAAGTGGTCGGGGCGGAGGGGGCAGCGCGCTGCGCTGAGGAGAGGGAGAGGGGGGGGGGGGGGCGACGACGACGCCGAAATAAAGTCGTCGGGGCGGAGGGGGCGGTGCGCTGGGGTGCTGGGGAGCGACACATAGCGACACATGTCGACACAACGCCGAAATAAAGTGGTCGGGGCGGAGGGGGCAGCGCGCTGGGCTGCTGAGGAGAGGGAGAGGGGGGGGGGGGCGACGACGACGCCGAAATAAAGTCGTCGGGGCGGAGGGGGCGGTGCGCTGGGGTGCTGGGGAGCGACACATAGCGACACATGTCGACACAACGCCGAAATAAAGTGGTCGGGGCGGAGGGGGCAGCGCGCTGGGCTGCTGAGGAGAGGGAGAGGGGGGGGGGGCGACGACGACGCCGAAATAAAGTGGTCGGGGCGGAAGGGGGCGGTGCGCTGGGGTGCTGGGGAGCGACACGTAGCGACACATGTCGACACATATCGACAGAGACATCTATCGACACACACACACACACACATATCGACACACAGCGACACATAGCGACGCACGCATGGAGACGCATAACGACACACAGCGACACATATAGCGGCACATGAAGGGCACAAGGCACACAGCGACAGATATAGCGACACATGAAGGGCACAAGGCAGCTGGGGGGGAGCGACGACGACGCCGAAATAAAGTGGTCGGAACTCTAGACACCCTGTGCAAGAGAATAATGTAGAACTACCCATGCGGCAGTGGGAGAAACCAGCACTGAAGTGGACGATAAGGTGCCACAGCCCCAGCGATGTAAATGGTGAGGGCCGCCACACCCACCACAAGTCGTCGAGACCCGAGTCGCGCCTGACCGCAAAGGAGCTTGTTGTCACTGCTAAATGTCCCCATGCAATGAAACTGCCAACCTGTCTTGCCACCGCCCAAATCAATAGTGTATCAACAATGAGAAGACGTTTCCAAGGAAAACAGCAAAACACGCTTCACTCATTTCACCTCGACTTAGCCAATCCGATCGACCGTGCACGATGGTCTGAAAACAGGTGCCACGCAAGCGCCTCGATGAGGCGTCGAGGTGCGACTCGGGACAAAGCGACAAGCCGAAATGTATACGGACCCTGCTCTGAGCCGCATGTGTTTGAGCAACCAGGAGGAGGAGGCGGCAGGGGGACGGAGGAAGGATCCGATTGAAGGTTTTTGAAAGTAGCTTTCCTGGCGGCACAGAGGGGGCCGTAAGTAGGAGGAGGATGAAGCTTGAGGGGGTGGAGGAGGAGAAGGAGGAGGAGGAGCAAACCCAAGACTCACTCACCAACGATGTTGCACGAAACGCTCTCTCCAAGCTCCCTCTTCACAGGTCCTTATGAGGGTGTATTGCGAAGGCCTTACGGCCGGTGCCGCCGACCCTGAAGACAGCGATCTGTCAGCGAGGGGAAACAACCAGGGGCTGGTGGTGGCGGTGTGGGCAAGACCAGACCCAGGTCTCTAAGGTCTTTTTGGGTCTCTACCTCTGCGAGCCTCCGTCTCGTGGCTCATTGCGTAACTCAGGCTCAGCGCCGAGCTGTTCCTCAGCGGAGGAGGAGGCAGACGAGGAACCAGAGGAGGGGGAGCAAGGGAGGGGAGGAGGAGAGGGAGGAAGAGGAGGAGGAGGACGAGGAGGAGGAGGTGGAGGAGGGGGCCGTTCGGGTGTCTCTTGGGGCATATGTTGGGCCTCTTGGGGGCCTCTTGGGACCTTTTGGGGGCCTCTTCGGGGTCTCCTGGGGCCTCTTGGGGGCCTCTGGACGCTCCCTCCAAGCGCCCTCTTCACAGGTCCTTACGAGGATTTATTTTCACTGGCAGAAGAACCCCGTTGGAAGACGACCGTGTGACAATCTTCACCCGTGACAACGCACCAGTCCTGGGACTTCAAGCCTCGAATCGACATCACTATTGCGACCTGCCAATCCTAAATCGTGCTAGAACGCCATTTATGGGACGTCGTCACCGCGAATCGACGTCACTCTTGCGACCTGCCAATCCGGAATCGTGCCAGAACGCCATTTCTGGGGCGTCGACCAAAAGAGTCTCTTGAAACTCCTGCAAACTTTTCAAACGAATGTGCGCGACTCTAAGGTGAGAGCCACGGTTCGAAGAGGAAGCGCGCTCTATCTACGACATGGCTGCAAGCCTTTAAGAAGAACTTTCGCGGCGCCGAGGCGAGAGCCACAGCTTGAACAAACGGCCCGCCCTCCAGCCGCGCAACCCGTGCTGCAGCTTTCTGCAGCGACTGTTGCGCGGAGCCGGAGCGAGAGCCACCATTCGAAGACTGCCGGCTCTCCGTCCGTGAGATTGCTTTGCAAATCTGATTTTCAGGCATCGTGAAGAGGAAGCCATGTCCATTGCATAGTTTGAAATGCTAGGCATCATGACAAGGAAGTCATTCGAGCCGTTGCAGAATTCTAGAATGTCAAGTAAATTGGCGTCTCGGGGAGCGACAGCGAGGAATTGCCTTCGAGGGAAAGGAGTGGGGGCTGGAGGAAGAGGAGGAGGCAGGAGGAGGGGGCGGGAGGAGGACGACAAGGCAGGAGGGAGGAGAAGTAGGATGGAGGAGGAGGAGGAGGCAGGAGAAGGAGAAGGAGAAGGGAGGGGGAGTAGGGTGGATCGAGGAGGAGGAGGAAGAGGAGGAGGAGGAGGAGGAGGAGGAGGAGGAGGAGGAGGAGGAGGGAGGAATGAGAGGGGCGAAGGATCTCAGGGAGGAAAGGAGGAATCATGGAGGAATACAGCGGAGGAGGAAGAGTAAAGGAGGAGGAGGAGGCAGAACCCACATCAGGTCGTCATCGAAGAACAGAAACTGCGAAGGGTGGAGGGTGCAGGTAGGCAGGTACATTGAAGTCGTCCCGCTGACGCGGGGGCGCGCCCGCAAGGCAGGCTTCCCGGACGCGCGGCCCGAGAGATGGGGCAGCAACTGTGGGGAATCGCCAGCTGCTGGCCGAGCCCTGGAGCCTACCCTGACTCCGGATCCGTTCGTGCTGTGGTTGATTTTCCGATTTCAATGTGTGTCGGACATGCACCCCAAAAGATGCGAAAAAACATTGAGGAAAAGTCTGCACGTGTGGCGGACACACCGACGGCAAAGTGGTGCGGAAATCCGCATCAAAGGAGCTTCAAGAGCAGGGAAAAAGTTTCCGCCCTGTGTTCGAAATCGCACAAACTACGGCAGATCCAGAGTCAGGGTATCCCCCTTGGGGTGCACAGTAGGCTGCGAAGTTCGCTCTGTGTCTTCTCATTTGCTTGGCCAAAGACATATTATAGAAAATAGGAGGGGGGGCAACAAAAACATGTTTAAAGAACTTGGGGTGTGCAGTAGGCACGCCATAAGAGAGCGGCCTGACCGTAGGTGTTCCACTGAAGTTTGTTATCCCCCAGTGGCCTCGGGGGCCCACGGAAGCCTTGGGCTCTTCACGAACTTTTGGCATCGACGACGCATGTGACTTACAGTGGAGACCCATGCCAAGAAACACCCTGCTGGCCTCCAGGGTGCCCTGGGTTTCTTAGGTTTCGATGGTTTTCAGGAGTCCTGAGGTCGGATGTCCTGAGGCCTCAGGGTTGGGTTTCTTGTGGAAGGTTTCTTGTGGACTGGCCTCCACTGTAAGATTTCTCATAGCAAGATTGCTTATTAATTCTGCGTCTGCTGTACATGCACCCCTCACGCGGCCTGCAGCAGGCCCATCAGGGGGGAGGCAGAGGAGGGCGAGGGGGAGGGGGATAAGGTGGAGGCGAAGGTGGAGTTGGAGGAGGAGGGGAAGAGGTCATCGAGACCACGTGGATAAGCACCTCGTGACAATCCGTTAATCCATCATTGCTCCTCCGTGCCATTCCCTGTACAGCTTCATCCTGCTTGTTCGATCCCAGCTGTTTGGCAGAAAGAAGCGGCCTTCAGCGCCTGATGGAATTCTACTGTGCCGAGAGGAGCATGGATTCGTCGCAGGTGATGTTCAACGCAACGGGTAAGACGCTGGAGAAGACGGCCACCCCCGAGGACTCGCAAGCGCACAGCCAGCGGATCCGTCCCGTCTCCATCCTCCTCTCGATCATTGGCCCCTGGACCAGGACCAACAACAAATCCCCAGATCTGCCCGCAGACGTGTTTGTTGTTGCTCGTGGGCTTCCGCTGCTGATCAGCAATCGTACTGATGCCTTCTCTTGGGCTGTCTTACTCCTCCTATTCCCCCCCGCGTGTTTTTGTTGCGTCCCCCTCCCATGTTGTTGTCGTATCTAAACCTTCTCTTGGGCTGTCTTACTCCTCTTACTCCCCCCGGGTGTCTTTGTCGCGTCCCCCTCCCCGTGGTTTTGTTGTATCGAAGCCTTCTTTTGAGCTGTCTTGCTCCTCCTACTCCCCTCACTCCCCCCCCCGCGGAAGCGTTTGATTCAGCATCTTCTCGTGGCGCTCACGATGTCGCTCGGCGGTCTCCCCCCTTCGGGAACTCGCTGATAATATGCTGAGTGCGGCGGATCACGGCGGGGGTCGATGATCGCAGGTCCAGGCCGCGCGGCGCCCAGAGTTCCGAAGGGCAGCGCGGAGGCGCCCGGCGAGAGGGCGACTGCGGAGGAGAAGACGATGCGAATCGAAGCTCAGCAGAAGGAGTGCACGTCAGCTCTCGGCAGCCGAGAAAGGATCGACACGGGGCGCCTCCTGCGCTGCCGCTTCGGGCCTATAGGAGAAGGACGGCGAAGGAAAGGTTATCAAAGGCAAGGCCAGATCAGTCGTCCTCGGCTTCAGCGACCCCCGGACCTACTCCGACTTCGGACTGAACCTCCAGACATGTCCAGTCGCCTCACCACGTGCCAGACAAATCGCATAGGCCATGGCACACAGGCACCAGCGGAAGTTGGAGAAGGCCGATGCGGCCATTGGTTTTCTCTACATGGACCCGCTCAAGGATGTACGCCAGGCCTTCGGCATGAATTGCGACGAGGTCTTGCAGCTCCTGAAGCCCATGTACGGATGTGCGCGTGCTCCTCGCAACTGGTGACACCATTCCCAGGCGGCTGCAGAAGTGCGAGCTGGAGCCCGTCGAGTGCGAACTTTGCGCAATCCGCGTCGATGGGAAGCTGGTCGGCACGGCGATGCTACACGTAGACGACATGATGATAGCCGGCGAATCCACCAACAAGGTTTTTCATCAGAAGCATGGAAATCCAGAAGGCCTTCGAATGGACCCCTTGGGAGAGCCAGGCGTTCGTGCAGCGCGGAGTCAGCATTCGGCAGCTCGACGATTTCGCTTGCAGCTTTGCACAAGACAGCTACAGCCTGAACGTGGAGCCCTTGAAGATACGACATGGCCGCGAACCCGGAGTTTCTGGCAAAGAAAGATCTGACATACGAGCCCGACTTAGAGCAGTTGGCTGGCGGGATCAGCAGTCTGCTCCGTGGTTGAGCGCGGAAGTGTCTCTACTTCCATCGGAGATACTTACGGCCGCAGTCTCGACATTGCAGAAGATCATCAAACTCTTCCGTGCCATGAGCGAAATTGCGGACGTGATCATGCCCATCCTTGCCATGGACAATCTAGCAGTCTCGAGCTGGGGAGGTGCTGCATAAGCCGCACGGATGACTGGCGAACCCCCAGGTTACGAATTGGTTGCGCTAGCTCCGAAGACTTTCCTCAAAGGGTAGACCGAAAGTGCGGTTCCAAGATTTTGGGGTCGTGCCAGTTACCCCAAGTGGCCAGAAGTTGCGCGAGTGCCGACGTGCTGATGATGACCGAGACCTTCAACGATATCAGAGAAGTCTGATGCTTGATCTACAAGGTGGACTGGGCCTGTGGACGACGCATCCAAACAGGCCGTGATTGACGCCATCCTTATTTGCCCTAGCGTCTTTACACGCGGTAAGTCTGAGTACGACATCATCGAGAAGAGCGAGTCAGTTGGATCTCGCACTACGTGACAAGAGTACAAGCATCGAGTGCTTGGGCCATGGGCAGGAGGCAACAGAAGAGCAGACGGTCCTCCAGATTCGTTGGGTCCACACAGAGCTAGACAACGTTGGCGCCTCGTGGACGATCGTCTTCACCGCAGTGCCAGGAAGAGAAAGCCGAGGGCATCGACAAGCTAGTTCACGACAGCCGTCAGCCACGAGGAGGACCAAGCTACCCAGGAGGTCCTGGTTTTCCATGTTCGAGACGATATCGATGGACGAAAATCACCTTTAGGAGAACACGCCCTGCAGCGGTGGGGCAAGTTTATTCGAAATTTCATAGGGCAGTGGAAATACCAAAATTGCATCAGCGTCCCCTCCTCCCCCGTAGACTCCTATCAAGGATCCGTTTTGAGCCCCTGCCATCGTCGGAATGACAACATCCTTGTTTCCTGGGCCTCTAGAGTAATATAGTTTAGATTATCGACCGAATTTGTGCCACTGGCTTCGTGTTGAATAAATATCCCAGCTTTTCCCAGATCCTGGCTTCAATGGTCCCATTGGTTGCTTTTACATGCGACACATTTAGCCCGGGTTATTCCACCTTTCGGCCTCAGGTAATTTCGGTACTTCGCATTTCATTCGAAACGTTCGTCCCTCCGAAATATGGGGCACGGTAAACCAAATCCTGCGCTCTGTGCTTTCTGTGAATCCCAGAGCTCCCCGGAAGCGTCGATGCCGTAACATAGATGTTTAATGTTTGGGCATGCTGTTCACAAACCCAAATGCGTCCAATCTAGAGCCGATTCACATACGAAAGAAGGCGTCCAGAGGTTGAACGTGACATGTACTTGACCTTGGGCCCACAATGGGCCTTGATCGTGTTAGTCCGCGTTCCCCGGCGCACTGGGTTCCCCGCTCCACGCTTCTGCCTAGCCAAATCTGCATGCCTTCTTTTTTTCCAGGATGGTCACTAACGCAACCGTTCTGGCTCAAGCCATTGCTGCAGACCAGATCTGCAGGACTTCCAGCCTGCGCCCTAGACGCGCAATTCAGCTAGCTGGCCCTCTAACAAAGAAACTCATGTATTTCACGGTCGTGCGACCGAAATCGCTACCCATTCCCACTGCGTTACGACACCGGCATTGGTCATATCAGCAATGGCAGCGCCAGCATCGAGGATAATCACAGATAGAACCATGTGTTTTATCAGGGCAGTGATTCTAGCGGGACCATTGCATTTTGAGTCCTGAGGCCTTCTTAGAGTCATGTTGGGCCATCTTGGACGTGCTAGCGCCTCGCGGACCCCCGTCCACATCTGGTGTGGTGGTAGGAGAAGTGGTAGCCCCTCCCCCAAGGGGAAGATGGGTGATGGAATGCGAAACGCCCAGAACCACTCACGCCCTAAAGGGCTGGTGCGACTTGGCCCCAGGAGGAGCACAAGTGGGCTAGGGAAACAGACACAACGTATGTTGACGAGTGGGCCTCTATTGGGGGGCCTCGTGGGACCGCCCTCGGGTCGTAGGTCGACACTGGCCAAAGCAAAATCAATGATTTGCGCCTTCTCGCTGAGGCCATTTGGACACTCTGACCGTTCGCGGGGCGCCCCCTCCACACCCAGGGGAAGGGGGTAAGGTGAGGGGAAAGCTCTTCCCGAAGGGGAAGAGGGGAGTTGGAAGAGCAAACGCCTTAAACACCCTGCACTTTAAGGGGCTGACGGTCCTCCTCCTCCTCCCCCTCCTCCTCCTCCTCCTCCTCCTCCTCCTCCTCCCCCTCTTCCTCCTCCTCCTCCTCCTCCTCATCCTCCTCCTTTCCTCCTCATCCCTCCTCCTCCTCCTCCTCCTCCTCCTCCTCCTCATCATCATCATCATCATCATCATCATCATCATCATCATCATCATCATCATCATCATCCTCATCCTCATATTCATCCTCTCCCCCTCGATCCTCCTCACCACCGTCGCGAGGAGCTGGGCCTGGAGGAGATGAGCATCATCCGCGCGATCCCCCTCGCGGCGTGAGCAGCCAGCGCCCGGGGCTCGCGCGCACACGCCCTGGGCCGATTGGGACCCCGGGGATACGACCCTTGCGCGGCACGCCCCGCATTCGGCAGGGGTAACGTTGAGAGGGGGGGGAGGAGGCGCATCGACCCCCAATCGCCCACTGATCGCCAACAGGGGCCCAGCGCCGATCTATCGGCGACGTATTCACCCGCTGAGTTGTCCCCCCCCCCCCCCGGCGTTCCCACTCAGATCAGAGGACAAAGGCATACCGATACCAGCAGGGCCCATCTCGATCCGATGTGGCGCCGATTCTGGCCAGCCCGCCCTCACCTCCTCTCGTCGATATGTTTTTCTTGTTGCTGTTGTTGCTGAGTTGCCCTTTTCTAAGAATAAGTAGTGTTAATCCCCCCGCTGCCCATTCTGTTTTTCAATACAGGGGCTTGCACCCTGTTTTCTACGAGGAAAGGAAAGTATTGGGGACTCAGAATGCGCTGTTGGCTCCGAACTACAGCAACGACGGTTCCCGCTTGATACTTCCACACAACTGATTCCAAAATCACGCTCTCGCGCGCGACTTCCTCGCAGCGTATGCGGGAATCGCGCTGTGGGACGTCCTTCCAATTTACTCAGAGGCCTCGACACTCAGGAGTCAGGCTCTCGCTTTGGGCTTTCTCACGATGTGCTTGGGAATCGCGGTATCGCTTCAGTTTTCCTCGCGATTAATGCAGGACGCACGCTTCAGCAACCCGCCTGCTCGACCTGGCCGCCTGGGCCCGCTTTCCGGACCCGCCCGTTGGGTCTACCCGCCCGATTTGCCCGTTTGATTATGCCACGTGGTTTTTGTTCCTAGCCCCCAGCTGCTAATCTCTCTCGTGCTCCATCCTTCTCCCTCCCCCTTCCATCCGCCTTCTCTTCCCCTGTTTAGGGGCTTCGCTAAATGTACGTAGCAGCTACGGAAAATACCCCCAAGGGTGTATGATCGAAGACGAAAAGGACGGCTACCGAGGCTGTGGGCTATACGAATAATACTTGTTGCTCCCCACTGGTGCCCATCGTTTTGTACTTGACGTGCTCCTCTTGGGCCCCGCACCTTTTTTTTTCATCAAGGAAAATATTAGGCCTCAGAATGTGTTGTTGGTCCACGAGCTATTACGATTAGTATTATTACGACTACTACTACTACTACTACTACTACTACTACTACTACTACTACTACTACTACTACTACCACTACCACTACTACTGCGACTACTACTACTACTACTACTACTATTACTACTACTACTACTACTACTACTACTACTACTACTACTACTACTACTACAAAGAAGACTAGAAGTACGATACTTATTTCTACTAGCAGTAACAATACAAATACTGCTACGACTACTAATCATAACAGCAGAAATGATAATACTTCTTATACTTCTTCTACGACTACTACTACTACTACTACTCCTACTACTACTACTACTACCACTACTACTACTACTACTACTACTACGACTACGACCACTACTACTACTACTACTACTACTGCTACTACTACTGCTACTGCTACTTCGACTGCTACTACTACTACTACTACTACTACTACTACTACTCTACTCTACTACTTCTTTACGACTACTACTACTACGATACTGTACTACACTGCTACTTACGACACTTACTACTACTACTACTACTACTACTCACTAACACTTCTACTACGGACTACTACGACTACCCACACTCTCACTACTACTACTACTACTACTTACTACTACTACTACTACTACTACTACTACTCACTTCTACTACTAATACTTACTACTACTGCTACGACTACTTACATACTACTTACTACTACTACTACTACTACTACGACTACTACTACGACTACTACTACTACTACTACTACTGCTTACTACTTACATACCATTACCCGTACAACCTATACGACCACTAATACTACTACTACTCCTACTCCTACTACTACTTACTACTACTACTACTAACTACTATTTTACTACCTCTACTACTAGACCTACTACTACTACTATACGACTGCTACTAAGACGCGACTACTACTACCTTTACTACTACTGCGTACTACTGCTGCTACTTTAACTACTACTTCTCACTATTGCTTATACAACAACTACTTACTTACATACTACTACTACTACTAACTCATACTACTACGACTACTACTTACTACTACGAACTATTACGAACTACTACACATACCTCTACTACTACTACTACTACTACTACTACGACTACTTACTACTACTACTACTACTACTACTACTACTACTACTACTACTACTACTACTACTACTACTACTACTACTACTACTACTACTACTACTACTACTACTACTACTACTACTACTACTACTACTACTACTACTACTACTACTACTACTACTACTACTACTACTACTACTACTACTACTACTACTACTACTACTACTACTACTACTACTACTACTACTACTACTACTACGACTACTACTTTCACTATTCCTACTACTACTCCCACGACTACTACGGCTCCCACCTGACTATTGTTCAGTGTATTCCAGAATCGCGTTTTCGCGCAGGGCTTCTCCAATGTATGCAAGAATATTGGTTCTCACATCGTGCTTCTTTGCAATGTATTGAAAAGCCGTGCCCTCGACACTCAGGAGTCAGGCTCTCGCTCTGGCTTGTCTTGTCATTTACTTGGGGATCGCGCTATCGCTCAAGTTTCCCTCGCGATTAATACAGGACGCACGCTCCAGCAACCCGCCTGCTCGATGGCCGCCTGAGCCCGCCTTCGCGACCCACCCTTGAGTGTCTGCCCGCCCGATCTGCCCGTCTGGTTCTGCCACGTGTTTTCTGCTTCTAGCCCCCCATCCTTCGTGCATCATTATTCTTCCTCCCCCTTACCTCTTCCTTCCATTCGTCCTCTCTTCCCTTGTTTCTTGGGGGTGCACTAAATACACGTGGCGGGTAGGGAAGATATACCCCCAAGGGGATACGATCCAAGACAAAGGGTGGGTATCGAGAGTGTGAGAGACACGTGCTGGATGGCACGCGAGCAGATAAGAGCGAACAGTAGTTCAACGATTGTTGTTGTCGTTACTTTCGGCCTCCAGAGACCCTCGCCTGGCGTCGAGACTGTCCAAAAACGTCCCAGGATGAAAAAGCGATCCTCGCAAAGGGGTCCAGACCTTGAGGGGTCGGCGCTGTGAAAAAACACTGCGTCGGAGCTCTGGGCGATCCGCTTGCACTTCGATGCTCCCACGGCGCGGTGCGGCCCGACGACTGCGTGGCGACGTCACGCCTTTGGGCGCAACTCGTCCGCACCAATTTCGAATGCGCGCCGATGCGGCCCGATCCGACGCACATTCCGATGCGATCCGATTGGATCACGCCCGATCCTGCACCGGTGCCCCCCTCCCCCCGAAGGGTTCCCCAGGGGGCTTCCAGGGAGGGCCTCGCTCTCGATGGATCGAGGTGCTGGCTTCCGGAGGGCGGCGCGAGCGAGCGGTGGCGGCTGTGCCACGTGAGTCTGTCCATATACATTTTGTTCTGCGGGGTGCGAGACTCACGGGTCACGGGGATGGCGGTGACATGCGCGTGTGTGTATGTCTGTCACCGGCTAGGGGGCGAATCGGGTCGCTCGGGGCTCAAGCGACGGGGGTCAATGCAAATGGGGGTCAGCCAGAGCGCCAGATCCTGCAGGATCCTGCAGAGCCAGGGCTGCACTGACCCCCGCTTTGGGTGCAGGATCCTGCAGGATTTTGCCGGATCCTGTAGGGCCCGACTGACCCGGGTTTGGACTGACCCGGGTCAGAAGATCCGCGAGTCACGCGTTTGCGGTGGCGTAGGATTAGTGTCCGTGGGGGCGTGGGAGTAGTGAGGACGTTGTAGCCTTTGGTGCCCCTCTCTTCCTCCTCGTCCTTCTCTTCCCCCTCTCTCTTCCTCCTCCTCCTGCTCTCGTTTTCTTCATCCTCCGCCTCCTCCTCTATCCCTGGTCGCCCCCCTTCTCCCCCTCCTGAGGATGGAGGAGGAGCCTGGGAGGAGGAGCACTGGTATCGGTATCGGTATGTTCTTGACCCCTCGCGCAACCACGCACGACCAATTCAACGGCTCTTGAATGAATTGAACTACCGAGAAGGCAGTGCTGCTGCCTAGCCAAAAGCGTCAGGACCGCGCGCGAAGTAGCAGAAGGTGGAAGGGTGATCATATAGGTGTACACATTCGTGTTGTTGCCATTCATATGTGCAGTTGCTTTCTACATCTCTAGTTATCTCTTCCTCTATTTCTGTCCATACATATATATATGTATATATATATATATACACAAGACTGCATTGGCGCTTCGCGCCATGCACCTTGGTCCTTGAAGTTTGGTATGCAGGCGGAATGTCAGGAGGGTCAAGCCGACAATTTAGCGATAAGTCCTTGTTGCCCTTTCTGGCATCGCCGATATGATAACGTCATTCGTTATCCTTCCTCCATGCTTCCTTGTCCTCATCCTCTCCTCACCCTGCGTATTCTCCCCAGCCTCCCCAGCTCTTTTTGCGGAGGCTCCTCCTTGGAGAGCCCCTGGCGGCCTCACAAAAGTTGATCAGGCTTTCTTAAGGCCTTCTGGAGGCCTCCTGGGCGTCTTCTGGGGGCCTCTTGGGACTTCCTGGGGCCACCCTGCCTCCAACCACGGTCTGGAGGCCTCTTGGAGGCCTCTTGGGACGTTATGGAGCGATCTTTGGGGGTATAACGGCTGCTTTGGGCAGTCTGGGGTCGTTTCGGGGGCGCGCCGGAGCGCCTGGAGCCCTGTGGGGCGGTCTTCGGGCTCTCGCGGGGTGCTCTCGGGAGGCCTGGGGTGGGTCAAATTCGTTAGTGGGGGGTGGCGTTTTTTCCGGGGTCCCCGGCCTTAGAAAAAAATATAAATAGGAACACACACATGGGTTCTAGGACCCGGGTCCTCTTCACAACACCCCCTGAGCGTTCGGATACCTCCCCTGGAGGCCGAGACCTCCTGG